TAAAAAAATGAAAGTATCCATAGTTCACACAGTCAAACAGTGTTAAAGGCTTGTTAGGAAAACCAGCAGTCCTCTGTCCCTCTCATCCTCCAGCCCCCCAAAGGGTAATCACTTTCACCTGTTTTGGCAGATCAGCTTATTTTGGTATTACTTTCATATTTCTATGTAACCTGCTTGAGTGTTACTTCTTGATTTTTCAGTTTTAGGCATTAGTCACAAACTTTTCACTATAGAAGAAGACAATTTATTTTTCTTTCCACATACACTCCCTCCCCACAACCAAACCCACATAACCATTCTAGGCCCTTGTCCTCCCAATAAAATTACATCATAAACTATCGGAATTAGCTATTATGGTTATGCAAATATTAAGTGTTACTTTTCTTTCCTACACAACTTCTATTTTCAGTGGAATTAACAACTGTCTTGTTTTAATTTGCTTGGTTTTTCTGTATACTACATACATGAATCTACCCCAAGCTTTCCAACTATCTCGAAGGATGGTCTGTGGACTTCTGGGGGTCCCAGAGACCCTTTCAGGGATCCATGAGGTCAAAACTATTTTCATAATAATACTAAAGCATTATTTGCCCATTGCCGTTGTGTTGACATTGACACTGATGGTACAAAAGCATTGTTGCCTTGGCACGAATCAGGCAATCGCGACAAAGGATACCAGTGGTTACCATCTCACACCTGCAGGGGAAAAAAGCTGGTTCACTTAAGAAAGCTTTTGATGAAACAGTAAATGCTACTAACTTTATTATGTTTCAGCCCTTGAGGACTTCTGAGGTATGATGGTTATCTTGAGGAAAAGCATTTATATGACTTTGAGTTGTGAGCTGCACTGCTTTGTTACGGAACACCATTTTTACTTGAAGGAACTGACACACAAATTATGGTTATTTGGCACTTCAAGGAAAACAACTGACATTTTTTATTGCCAATGATAAAATACGAGCTTTCACAAAAACTAGAATTTTGGAAACCTTGTATCTAACACATAATACATGTGTCAGTATTTCCTAATGCTTAGACTTGTCTAAGATTCATAGTGATATTAACAAATGTGCTGTCTTGATATCATATAATGAAATGTGTCTACATTTAGAAGATCAGCACAATAAGACAATATTTTCTAAATGATCTAAATTTCTAAATACATGATAAAAATCATGCATGGGTAAAACAGTCACTCAAAGTGTAAGACAGACAATAGATTTCAATGTAACTCAGTAAGAAAAGTTCAACTGATATTGCATTAGTCTGCTAGGGCTGCCATAACATACCACAGACTGGGTGGCTTAAACAACAGCCATATATTTCTCACATTTTTGGAGGCTGGGAAGTCCAAGATCAAGTTGCCAGCCAATTCCGCTCTTGGTGAGAGCTCTCTTCCTGGCTTGCAGATGGCCATCTTCTGTGTCCTCACATGGCAGGAAGGAGAGAGAGCAAGCTCTCTGGTCTCTTATAAGGATACTGATCCGATCAGATCAGGGCCCCACTCTCATGACCTCATTTAACCTTAATTATCTCCTTAAAGGCCCTACCTCCAAATACAGTCACACTGGGGGTTAGGGCTTCAACACATCAATTTGGGGCAAGGGCAAGCACTATTAGGCCGTAGCAGACATGGTTTCAGATTCTAGACTGCAATTAACTTATAAGAAACTACTGTCAAATTCTGGTGTTGTACAAAGATTAATATCCACAATTATCTGAAAGAGCTATTAAAACACTTCTTTCTTTTCTAATTACATATGTCTGAAGCCAGATTTTCTCCACATACTTCAACCAAAAGAACTTATCTCAACAGGCTGAATATAGATGCACATGAGAATCCCGCTTAATGTCTTCTCTAAGAGATTTACGAAAAAGTAAAACAAGCTTCTCCTAATTTTGTTTTAGAAAATATAGTTATTTTCCATAAAATGTTATTTATGTTAACATATAATGAGTTAGATTTATTACTATTATTTTAATTAAAATAAGTAAATGTTGAACATTTCATCAGTTTTCATTTCTAATATTCTAAGCAGTGAATCCACATATATGAAAGCTCTTTGAGGTCCTCAATAATTTTTTAGTGTGACAGGTCCTGAGAGCAAAACATTTGCTAACTGCCAGTCTAAATCATCTCCCAAGAAGTTTGGACACACAGATATTTTAACTATTTCATTTTCTCAAAGACATCTCTCCTAGAGCCTTCTGACCTGCTCCAATCTGGGTCAGCTGTCTTCTATACCATGTAGAGCTCATACCCTAGGAACTTGCTTCACCATCACCTAGGTCAGGTGCTAGCCAGCAAAGCACGTATGGCCTGTGGGCCGAATCCAGCCTGCCACCTGGTTTTAAAGTTTTACTGGAACATGCTCATTAATGTATGTACCGTCTTCTTTCCTGCTACAGTGGCAGAGCTGTGCAGTTTTGCAACAGAGACCAAGTGGCCTACAAAGCTGACAATATTGACTCTTTTGTCCTCTGCAGGAAAAGCCTACTGGCTTGTGATCTACATGGCCCTTTCACCTCTTTCCTGTGTTGGTTATTTGTTTCTTGAATACCATGCCTTCCTCCTGCCTTAGTTACTCCTTAAGTTTGGTGAGGCACATCTCCTGGTAGCTTCTTGAGAAAAGATACATGAGAAGCGCATTTTTTTTTTGAGACCTTGCATGTCTGAGGATGCCCTTTTCTACTCTCACATTTTATTGCTAGCTTAGCTGGGTACAGAATTTTAGCATAGAAATCATAGTCTTTCAGAAATTAGAAAGCTTTGCTTCATTGTCATCTAGCTTCTAGGATTATGATGGAAAAGTGTAAAGTTATTCTGAGTTGAAGCCCGTAGGCACTTTTCTGTGTCCTCAGTGCTCTGAAATTTTATGACGATGTGGCTTGGAGAGGATGCGTCTCCACCACAGTGCTGGGTAGTGGGCTCTTTCAATCTAGAAAGTCACATTCTCCAGTAATGGGGCATTACCTTGAATTATTCTTTCCCCTCTGTTTCTGGAATATTTATTGAACAGATGCTGGATATTGTGGAGTGGTCCCATAATATTCTATCTCTTTCTGGGATAATTCCTCAACTTTATCTGCCAACCGGAAGTTTGAATCTTCTTCATTTCTTCTATCATGGTTTTAATTTCTAAGAGCTCTTTTTTCCCCTTCTGAATATTTATTTTTTGAAGTATCTACATCTTGTGATATACATAGATGCTTTCTCTTAAAAACAATTCTCTGAGGACATAAATGAGAGTTTCTTTTCCTGTGTAGTCTGTTTTGTTCTAGTTGCCTTTTTCTGGTCATTTGCTTTGGTTTTCCTGTATTACGTTAGAGGCTTTCCTCCTGGTTGTCTCTTCATACACAAAAGTGAAATCCTAAAAGGCTGATTTTTAGTGAAATCCTAAAAAGCTCCTCGTGTGGGTGGAGCCGATTGTAAGTTTTACTGTAGGGAGATACAGCTGGGCTCTTGGTTTGGAAACTCTTGAGGTTATTATCTTCAAATCTTCTTCACTACTCAGATTCCGCAGAGAAGGATTTTCCCATTTCCTGACTCAAGGGTGTAGGTTTGGCTACCAGAATTCCAGGGTTGCTTGGGAGAAGAAAGCTGCAATGCTTAATATTCGGTCTGCCAGCATTCACTCAACCTCCCTTAAGGGACCACCTCCATTAGATGTATGTAGTGTCCCCGAGTTCAGACATCCTTTACCTTGTCCTGTCCAGAGAATACATTTCTGGTCTTCTTCTAAGTTATGGGAGAGGCAATCTTTTAAAATAAACTTTCAAGCAACAGAATTAGTCTCCTCTTCACACACCTCTCCCCCACTTTACAGAGTCACCTGGTGCTGTCAGTTTCTGCATTTCTTTAGGGCTCTGCTGTGTAAATCGGGCTGTTTCTTGGCTTTCTCTGTTGTTGGCTCAGGGTTCAGCTTTCTCAGGACTGCTAAGTCAGTTACCACTCATCCATCTGCTTCCCAGCTTCCAAAATTTTGTTGCCGTTGTCTCCTCTCCCATTCTCTTTGTCCTTGTGGGTTTATGTCTTAAAAAAAAATCTCTTCACTGTTGTTTTAGTGAGGTTTTGGGAGGGAATGAAAGCAAATGTGGGTATTTGATCCTCCATCTTTATTTGGAACCTCTTTATAATTAAATATCTTTTTTTTTAACTTTCATTTAATTTTACAGCATAAACATTTCCCATGTTCTTACATGGTCTTTGTAACAGCTTTAGTAAAGCATAACATCCCACTGAGACAGGATCATAGCTTACTTAATCGTTACCCTATTTTTGAATGTTTAGAGTTGTTTCTGTTTTGGGGAGGGGACCAGTTTTTCCTAGAGTCATCTTTTTATTTGTCTCGTTTAATGCCCTCTATTTAGGGAATGCCCACCGACATTCTTCTCCCCTCTGTTCTCAGTCCATGGTTTCATCACCTTGTGCCTTGCTTATGGTACCACCTTGTGCAAATTTAATTCATCTTTAAACTGCCAGGTCATCCTGCACGATGATGCAGCCCTAATATTTCTCAAGACACTGCAGAGGACTCCTATCACCTACAATTCACCTGTGGCTGGAATCTGAGGCTCCCCATAGTGTGATTCCCACTCACCTACCCAAACTCACCCTCCTTTCCCTAAATATCCTCCTGCAAACGGCCCGCTCTCCTCACGGAGCTCAGGCTGCTCTTCCTGCCACTGACAACCCACACTCACCTTCACTGAGACCCCATCGCCTGCACTCACCCGCCCCACGTGACCTTGCTTACACAAGCTCTTCCTTCACCTGGTAATAGACAAGGAACAAGTAACTCATTTCTAATTGTTTAGGGTCAGTCTTGCCTTTTAAATGAACTGACAGCTTTCAGAGGCAGGAGCTCTCTCGTGCTCTTCTCTGTGGCAGCTGGCCCCATACGGCCCTCATCCCACCACCATGGGACTCCAGCCCAGAGCCAGGCACACAGTGGGCGCTTAACAGGGTCTCACTGAATGGAATGGACGTAAGTTGTTACCTTGCCCTCCGGAGTCAGCACCCAGATCACGGAGAAGGTCAGTTTGTCGGTCATGGGATTGAGGCTGCACAGCTCCTCACACAGCAGCCTGGGAAGCATGGGGACCACCTGCAAATAGAGGACAGACCCATGAGCACCTTTCTCCAAACCGCAGGAGCTGAGCACAGGCTTCGCAGCAGCCCAGAGGGCAGAGTTCTGGTGAGCAGCTCGAGCGTCCAGAGCGAGCTGGAGATGGAGGCAGCTCTCTTCCCAGAAGACTCTCAGAAAGAACACACTGTCTGATACTTTCCCAGGAACCTCTAGAGTCAAATGGGAACGTGAACTAGAAAGGTATGAAGAATTGGTAACACAGGGAAAAAGTACATTACAGCAATGAAAAACAACTACATTTGACTATATACTAAAACAGAAGCTCTAGACTCAAGAGTGACTTGTACTTTCGGATATAACTATTCCAGTTGAACTATATACTTAAGAGCTCAAGGTATTACATTTAAGTCTTTAATTCATTTTGAGTTAATATGTATGTGTGGTGTAAGTTAGGGGTTTCATGCTTTTGCACGAGGCTGTCCAGTTTTCCCAACACCATTTATTGAAGAAACTGTCCTTTCCCTATTGTGTGTTCTTGGCACCCTTGTCAAAGATGAGCTGACCAGATATACACGGGTTTATATCTGGGCTGTCTCTCTGTTCCATTCGTCTGTGTGTCTGTTTTTATGCCATACCATACTGTTTTGATTATTATAGGTTTGTAATATATAAATCAGAAATGTGATACCTCCAGCTTTGTTCTTCTTTCTCAGATTGCTCTGGCTGTTCAGAGTCTTTTGTGGTTTCATGTGAATTTTTGGATAGTTTTTTTCCTATTTTTGTGAAAAATTCTATTGGAATTTTAATGGGGATTACATTGAATCTGTAAGGTCACTTTGGGTAGTATGGACATTTTAACAATATTAATTCTTCCAATCCACTTATTTGGATATCTTTCCACTTATTTATGTCTTTGTCAATTTCTTTTATCAATGTCTTATAGTTTGCAGTGTACAGGTCTTTCACCTTCTTGGTTAAATTTATTCCTAAGTATTCATTGTTTTGGGTGCTACTGTAAGTGGGATTACTTTCTTAACTCCTGTGTCACCTCACATCTGTTATGATAGCTATTATCAAAAAGACAAGAGATAACAAATGCTGTCGAGGATATGGAGGAAAAGGAACCCCTGTGCACTGCTGGTGGGGATGTAAATTGGTGCAGCCATTATGGAAAACAGCATGGAGGTTCATCAAAATTAAAAATAGAACTACCATGTGATTCAGCAATCCCACTTCTAGATATACATTTGAAGGAAATGGTATAAGTACTTTGAGGAGATATCTGCACTCCCATGTTCATTACAGTATTATTCACAATAGCCAAGCCATTTGTGACAACATGGATGAACCTGGAGGGCATTACACTAAGTGAAATTAGCCAGACAGAAAAAGACAGACACTGCATGGTATCATGTATATGTAGAATTAAAAAAAAAAAGCCTATTTCACAGAAACAGCGAGTAGAATGGTGGTTGCCAGAGGCTGGGGGTGGAGGAAATGGGGAGATATAGGTCAAAGGGTGCATCCTTTCAGCTTTAAGATGAATAAGTTCTGATTCTTATGTACAGCATGGCGACTACAGCTAATAATAGGATACTGTATATTTGAAATTTGCTGAGAGTAAATCTTGAGTGTTCTCTTACCACACACAAAAAAGAGTTAATTACATGAGGTGATGGATATGTTAATTTCCACATTTCACAATGTATGTGTATATCAAATCACCATATTTTACACTTCAAATATATTTGTCAATGATTCTTCAATAAAGCTGGGGAAAATAAAAGAACCCAAGGGCTGAGTATAAACCCATGACAGGATTTCATCAAAGTAAAATTGCTGAATCAATGCTTCAGTAATTGAAAATAACACAATCGCCCAAATCACATGCTGGAACATTAACAGAATGCTCCAGTGAACTATCACTGAGAGGTTCATAAAGCCAGGTTCTCTCGATGAACCACTGTGGTCAACTCATCATTCCTTTTACAGGGTTTTAAGCCCAAATTGTTTTTTCCCTTTATTGGTTTTTCTATCCCATCATTAACGGATTCAGTGGTATACATCATTAATGGATTCAGTGATATACCATTTTTAATTAAAAAAAAATCTCTTCAATTTGCTTTCAAATGATGACTTACAGCTATCTCGGAACGTCACTTGTTTTCTCTAAAATTCCAAAGATGAAATGAGTATTTCTACCTGGGTCTCCTGAAGATACTTCCCAACTTTCTCCCTCCTACCTGGAAACCTATTCCTTCGCCCCCAGTTTTCCGGATTAATGTCTTTATTATTCACCCCACCTCCCAAACTAAAAACAGCGGCATCAACAGCCACGTGTGCAGCCCGCTGTGGACCTACCTGGTTTGCGGTGTAAAGCTCAGGTAACACTGCAACCCGGTGGTAAGTGACTGAGAAGTAACAGGCAAGAGAAGCAACTACGCTCTCTCTAGTTGAGGTCAAGTCAGCTAGTTAAGTTGCTAGAGCAGCAAAGGCAAAGCGAACCCCAGGAGTTTCTTATTCTGTGGGACGTGTCTGTACCTGTGCCCTGTCTCCGTACAGTAAATAATCTTTGGTATGGAAAAGGAAACTCTAAAACTCACAGCCCACACCAGCAACAAATCACTAATAACTAAATGGCTTTACTTGGCATTATCTGAAGGATGCCGTATCTTTTTAACACCTATGTAAAATCAAATGACGCCCTGAAAATGTCTGGTAACAACTTCTGTAAGATAGCCACTTTGGAAAATTTTTTCTCACCGTCGCTTTTGCACCATCTGTTCAGATGATGCTATATTTTCTTTAACTTACTTAGTGAGTGTTAAAATGTGATCTAAATATTTAACATTTTTGTGCCTGTATCAAGTGTTTTACCAAATAATACATTTTTACTTGCATAAACATATTGAACAAAATGGAGAAAGTTTCAATACCACACAGTCTCGTGACTGAACTGTGACAATGTCAAGGTTAAACGAGGTGATAAAGGTGGGGCCCTGATCCCACAGAGAGAGATAACACCCCTCCCTGCCCGGCACACACACACACACAAAAGGCCATGTGAGGACACAGCTGTCTCCAAGCCAGGAAGAGTCCCCACTAGGAACCGAATTGGCTGGCACCTTTATTTGGGACTTCCAGTCTCCAGAACTGGGGAAAAACTGTGTGTTGTTTAAGCCGCCCAGTCTATGGTATGTTTATGACAGCCCAAGCTGAGTTAGACTAAATGGAGTGTGTTGGGGGTGCATTCCTGGATTGTTGTCTGGGCTCCAGTATCAGATAATTATACCAACTGTATTTTGGTAGCAGCAGGCTGATCCCCCGGCAGGCTTGTAGTCCAGGACTTAATACCTTTTTTATAGATAGTTAGTATTTCTTCTAAGTGGGCAAGGCAGTATCTGACTGTGAATCACAAATTGAGCATGTAACATAATTCCTGACTTCATGTTTTGGTGTTTGTCAAAATAAAGTCATTGCGACTGAACGCAGTGTGGTACCTGGACTGGATCCTGGACACAAAGAAGACATTAGTGGAAAAACCGCTGAAATCCAAGTAAAGTATGGATTTTAGCGAACAGTAATGTTCCAATGTCAGTGCCTTAGTGATGGCAAATGTACCGTGGTGATGGAAGATGGGAACTGAGTGTGGGATGCCTCTGTGTAATCTTTGCAACTTCTCTGTAAGCCTAAAATTATCCCAAAATAACAGGGCTTATTGATAAGAAAGCCACTGTCTTCATCAGTTGATCTCATAAGTGTTATACATTTAAATATGGAAGAAATTTATGCTAATGAAATACAATCGGAATTGTTTTTATGCGTTGGAGTTTGGGGTTAAGATTTTATTTGCAAAAAGGCCTTTACCACTGAAAAAATTGTCTACAGACCATTAACCAACAGAGTGAAGTCCAGACTCATCATCAGCACAATGCAGGAGAAAGGGCAAAGGCTCTGAAGCTAGACAGACTTGGGGTCCAATCCCAGGGGCCACCACTTCCTGTACAAGTTGGGCAAGCTATTCTGATTCTCCGTCTCAGTTTTCCTGTTTGTAAAATACTGCGGGTGCCCAGTGAGTGAGCTCGCTGGCCATGCCACAGTCTGTGGGTCTCTGGCCCCCTGGCTCAGCCCTCCCTTCGGCCTCTGGCCTGGTGCCCGCCTCCCAGGGCCCCTCGGGCCTCACGAGAGGCCCCGCTCACCGCACGCCTTCCCCCGCCAGGCCTGTCCGCTGCTCCAGCTCTCGGCACTCTCTCTGTCTGGAACAGCTTTCTGGATGTTGTGCACCGGGCTAACTTTTGCATTTCCTTTAAGATTCAGCTCATCACCATCTTACATCTCACAGGCTTACAGATTCCCCCAGCGGGAGCCTGTGCCGTGTTCTGTATACTTCCCCACCCCACCTCACCCCTGTTCTTTCAAAACAGATTTGAAGCAGACATACACTGTCAGTCACTCCACCCTCCCTGCTCTTTCCTGAGTCCTCCATAACTCTTAACGCACGCATCCTCCTTGCTTCTTTAGGTGCCTCTCCACTCCACGAGACCATGGGATCTTAGGAATGTGGACCAGCACCTGTTCCTGTCTCTCTGTCCAGCACCTGACATATAGTAGGTGCTTCTAGTTCACAAATGAATGAATGACTTTTGTCCAGGAAATGAACACCTATGTTTTCTGCTTATGGTTTATTGCATCACACAGAACATTTTTATGAAATCATATGGTAGACTTCTACTTAAATATCTTTACACAAGAATTTCATGGGCAGTTAGTATTTTAAGTATAAGATAAGCTGTCTTGGCTACCCCCTTCTACACACGACTGGCACACACAGTGGCAGCCCGGATTATATTGGGTTGTGGGAAAGTCATGATGCATTTTTTCTGTTTTTCGTTGCAAAAATGCGTCATGACTTTTCTGACAACCCAATATATAAACACTGCTCGGTATCCTTTATCTTACACAGAAGATGACATCTGAATATTCACACTGCAGTGGCCAGATGCCAAAGAACCTAAGTG